TGGATTTTGGGTTATGTATGATTAATAATGGATCTGTAATGATATCAGGCTGCCGAGGAGGAGTTTTAAAAGCATGGTCTATACCAAAGGATCAAGCAGAATGTATTCCAATAGGAGAAGTTAAAGCACATAATACTGCTATTAATGCTGTAATAACTAATCAGCAACATGTTTTTACTGCAAGCAAGTAAGTATATTTTTTTGTATTATCGCTTATATTAAACTGACCCGAAGCATATTGGAAATATAATATAAATAACTGCAATGCAAAAATTGTATATTATTTTAAATTTGAATATTTTCATTTGAATATATATGTATGTATATATATATTTTAATTATATATAAGTATATACATATAAATTAAAATGTCTGCTCGGGTTCAGTACTTATACTATTTTTTTTTGAATAGAATAACATCTTAAATGTTGATTGCAGCTCTGGAGAGGTGAAGCTGTGGCGTATTCCTGATTCCTCCTTTTCCATGTCTATTTCCACAGTTTCCCTTTAACTTATTTTTTTGTTTTGTTGCATAATATTTCTTTGCATTTATAAATTGTTAATGTGGTAATGTGCATGCTTGTCCAAACACATTTTGTTATTTTATAAAAATGTGCGGACATGTTTATTATAAACACATGCCATTAATTTCATTGGCTAATATTTATACATTTATAATATTTTCGAAATATGTTCAATATAATGAAAGGATATGAAATTATGAAATCATAATAACTTTATTTTTTGCTTCAAATGCTTTAATATGTGATTATATATTCGAATGTAATTCAATGCGTCTTAAATTTCTAATAATTTATTGATGTTATTATACATTAGATTTGTTAAGCATAATAATAATTTTTTTTTTAAGATTCATATTTCTTTTCTTGATTAATCCGCATTTGTATTTATCAAAGCTATGTATCAGTATTGCTTTTTAAAAGTGTTTGTGCAAATTTTTAATGAAAATTTATCACTAATAGCGTGAGTGCTGTTATGAATGTATTCTATGTAAAACATTTGAATGAATGTAGTAAAAAATAATACTTTGTTATAATCATTAACTTGTAAGTTGATGAATATAAAAATTTAATTTAATTTTTTATTACTTTGCTTCTATGTTGTTTACACTCCAATTTGGTGCTTTGCATGGTCACCAACATGAAGTGACGGAACGGTGAGGCTATGGAGCTACTATAAGAGAGATGCAAGAACTTTCCAGAGAAGCAATTCATTAAAAAGTTAATATATGCACTTATTGAAAGTGTTTTGTATAATACAAAAAACTACACGTTTTTATTTATTTATTAATTTGTTTTAATTAATTTATAACGTTGCAGATAATTAATGCGAGAATTTATAATGATAATGCATCTGACTTATTGCCTACTAATTTTTTTAATATATATTTTAAATATTGTTTAAGTTACGCGTGTACTGCCTTAATGAATATGAGCATTTAATAGGTATAGAATTTATAAATGTAATTTTTAAATAACAAAACATTTCTATAGTATATAGAAATATGAAGTCCAAAGACTTAATATAAAAAAAATTGATTCTGCAAAAATTAAGTGCATTATCGCGAATTAAGTATAAGAATTAAACAAATTTACTTAATAAGGACAAATTTGGTATTATCTAGCATTTATTTTATTATGAACATGAAGGTGGTAATAATTATAATATTTACTCTTAGTACAAACAATAATTGTTGATTAATACTGTACAGTCTGAGGTTTTTGTAGGTCCCAAATGCTTGATATTGTCAGGGTTGGCTGTTATTTAGTTTTCTTCTAAAAATTTGAAACAGTATTATATGTAATTATACTTGTAATTAAAAAAATAAATGGACTAATAATAATATTAAATATACTTTTTTTTGGTAAAAAATACATATAAAATAAATTTATACCTCTTCTTCTTTTTATGTGTTGTTAATGATTCTTGGCCACTATCATCTGCACTTTCTTCTGATTGACTACTACTACTACTACTTGAAGAACTGCTTGATGAACCACTCGAAGAATCACTAGCAACACCTGTATCTTCTTTTACATCTATCGTTTCAGCAAGTGCTGCTAATTCTGATTCTTTATCCCTGAGTACTTTTAACCATTTGCGTGATAATTTTGGTCTTCCTCTTACCTAATATTATTAAGTAATATTATTAAAATATAAAAACATATATATATAATGTATGTATATAACAAATATATTTTCATAAATTCTTACCGTTTTATGCCATACTACTGGAAAATTTGTACGCGAACAAAAATTTTGAGTAACTGCTATAGTTTCATCAAGATTTAAAACAACATGCCACCAACCACCAGGAACAAAAACAGTTTCACCAGGATTTTGTAAAATCTCTATTGGCAAACAATCTTGTGGCCATGTAGGCAATTTTGTACGTGGATAAATAATAGAAAACCATGTAATAGCTTCATCTCTTTGTTTGCCACCTTCAGCTGCTGATACTTTTAAAAGATCTCTTGGAGTATGTGTAGGAAATAAACACCATCGTTTATGTCCAGAAATTAATGCATTCCAGGCACTTGTTCCTAATGGATCTATATGTATGCCTGTACCTGTATTTATATTATTTATTCATAATGTAGTCTTAAAATAATTGTTTAAATAAAACAGTTTTAAATTAAATGCATATTTTTTTAAGCATTTAATAATTTTTTGATCTTTCGAATCTAGAAGAAAAATATTTACCAGATCTTGCAGGTCCCATAACGAACCAGCGATATGGTGGTCTTCGATGTTCACCCGCATATTGAAAAAGATCGTCACGGAAATATTTAGGAATAACATAATCTTCTAATAATTTTTTTCGTCTAGGATGTTCACCAAAGGAACTATCAAAGATATATAAAGGCGAATCATCTTCATTATTAAGCATATAGCGTACATAATATTTCATTTTCATTTTTACACTATATCCTTCATTGTCTTCGCCACATTTAAATTTTTGATTTCTATATTTTTTTACTAATCTCTATATTAATAAAAAATTATTAGAAAAAGATAATATTAATATCAAGTATAGTATCAAGTATATTTTCTAAATAAGAAACAAAATAATTTGATAAGTATATACCTCTATAGTCCACTTATATTGGGCTTTCCAACCATTTTGAACACCTTGTATTATCACAGGCTTGTAAGGTTTCTCATATTTTTCTATAAATTCCTCTGTAGATACTTTGGATTCATCAATACGATCCACATTGTCCGTAAAATTCCAAAAAGATTCAAATTTTTTGCTGTAGCCATGTTGGATCCAAGCTGCCTTATCACCAAGTTCTAGAAGAAATATTTGATTTTTGTATAGGAAAGAAAAAAAGTGATTTAAAAAAATAGGACATTTTAATAATATAAAAATAATAGATTACATTATAAATAATGAAGGTTTATTAGCATTTTTATGTATTACTGATACTATATAATAAAGAATATTTAATGCTTATACAACAATTGAAACGGTAAGTTATTTACGTATAAGTGCATTGTATTATATTGTTATCGTAATACTTTCAGTAAATTTGGAGTTACATCATCCAAGGTCGGCAAAGATAGTTCGGTCTTGTATCACATATCCAAATTCTGTTTATAACGACGAGCGTCACAAGAAGACAAACGTTGTCTCAATTACTTCTAGTCATACTAGTAATATAAAATAATTCGTGAAGAACAATTGTTTGTTAAAAGTAATTTACGCCCATATCACGTCAACGTATAGGTTATAAATTAGGTTATGACATGTTTACCTGGTCTAGCTTTCCTTTTAACCTCTTTGATCCTCTTTTTAGCACGGTGATCTAATTTCAGTTCATCCATCATGACTACACGTTTTTTATGTTACCTAATTAGACTATTCTCTTTTTTAATATATTTACAATTTACAATCAAGAAATAAGTGTAACACGTCATTCAGTGGTAACTGTACTTTTTAGTTCACATAAATGCCGTAAGGTGCATTAAAATATCACCCAATATTTTCACATAAAATATATGAAATATTAACTACTTTTTTGTTAATATTTTAAAAAATAATAATCTTTAATTTTAACTTCATGTTATGTTCTGTCAAATATATTTTCAATGTGTTATGCAGCATTTTTATTAACTATAATAAGATAACTTTAAATAATAGAACTAAGTTCTGTATATTATCTACAGAGGCGCTGATTCTTGAATGCAACTGCCTACGTGACAAATACCATGTTCTGCCAATAGGTCATTCTGTAAATGTAATTGCACTTCTAGAAATATCGATATCGTAACTTCGCTTTTACATA